TCCCCGCTTCCCCGTGCTTGCTGAGGTGGGATTGAATATCCCCTGGGTCCCGGCTGTGCCCGTCTTCGCTGCTGCAAAAGTTATCCCTGTCCTAGCCGGACACAGGGCAGACACATTAGCTGTCCCACGAAATGAAAGAGCTTTCAACTCCAACACTAACACAGTACGCACAAGGCGTTTTGCCTGAAAAGGAAGCGGAAGAACAGCAAAGGACATTATTTCCCCGAAGAAACACAAGAGGTGCAAAGCTCAGCTCTGTCACATGTTTCATGTTGGTAACCGCCCCCAACCCTTTCACATCCTCTTCCTGCCAGTGTCAAAATGGCTTGTGGCTCTATGTGATGAACTTACTGGCTCCTTGAGTCAGCAACTGGGAAGCATAAGGCAAGGAAAAAAGTATACATAATATATCTGTGTGTGTGTGTTTATGCACATACATGCATGTGTATGTACACATCTAATCCAACTGCAGCTAAATCCTTTCCACCTGGCTGCAAGTTTAGAGAAATACATGCCTGTTATATATCAGGGGTTTTTTATATATATCTGTAGCTACTACATATATTGTTTGATTACCGTAACCTTTATTATCCCAAGAGCAATCTGGACAATACTACTGTGCATCAGGATTAGTATATATGTATATATAACTCACAGGATATATTTATTAGCTTCTAGCCTTTCTGCAAAATCTAGAGGATAGTACCCAACACCAAATCAGAGCATATAGGTAAGAAAATATCACAGAATCACAGAATCTTCCAAGCTGGAAAACACCCACAAGGATCACTGAGTCCAATTTAGGCCCTGCACGGGACATCCACAAGAATCCCACCATGTTTAGAGACTATCTATACTGTATATTCTGGGGTGTATACGGCATCTATGTCCTATAGATACTGTATATCACGTAGTAGACAGGAGATATTACTACAACAACTCAGTTAGTACGTATCTTTTAACTTGCAGGAACTTCAAGCTTGTGAGCTGCCTCTCGCAGCACCCTCACTCTCCCCGCAGGGAGCCCACAGCCTGATCCATAACACCCCGGCCCCTGGACCCGCCGGGTCACCCGCCTCCACCCGCCCGGCCCGGCCGCTCACCCTCGGGGCAGGCGAAGCAGACGAGGAGGTGGCCGGTCCCGGTCTCGGCGTCGGTGCCGGCCCGCAGCTCGCACTCGCCGCCTCCCGAGCGCTTCTGGCTCTGGAAGTAGCAGAGCAGCTTCTTCCTCAGGGCGGGGGGCGGCTCGGCGGAGCCCCAGTCCCCGCGCACCAGCAGCGGGAAGGCGCCCG